ATTATCTTTTCATCTTTGCCCTATTCTTGTTAACACAAGAATGAGCAAAGAGGGGCAGCTGAAGATACTATTTTTTATCCATTTTATTATTATTATTATTAATATTAATATTATTATTATTATTATTATTATTATTATTAATATTTATTATTATTATTAATATTATATATTATTATTATTATTATTATTTAATAAATAATTACAACTGGACCGGCCCAGTTACAAGCCAACTAGAACCGGTCCAGCCAACCAGAAACCCTAAACAATTAGTAAGGTTTCAGCTAGGGTTTCTAAACCCTAGCCACACCCAGCCGCCTCTGATGCTTCCAGATCCCAGCCGCCGCCTCACTGCCAAGTGGTCCAATGGCCCACTGCCGACGCCTCCGCCGCTGCCACGTCCCGAATGAAGGCTCCAGAAGATTAACGACGGCCGTCCACGCCAAGGCTACGGGGTGAGTCACCACTGGTAGTCCGGTGACTCACCAAAGCCCTCTCTTCGGACCGGTCCGATGACCGCACCGGTGGTGGCTATAAAAGCCACCACCCACCTGCAAGACAAAAAGAAGAGAGACAGAACGAGACACAGAAACAAAAAAAAAGGAGAGAAATAGAACCGGAAAAAAAACAGAGAAAACAACAGCTACCAACGATCCCAGTCCATCACAACAGAGCAAAAACAAAAGGAAAAAGGAAGAAAAGAAACTTACCGAGGGAACCGTTGATCATCAGAGCCTTTTTGGAGCCATCGGAAAGTCAAAGGTCGAAGGTATAAACTTTAGATCTACGCATTTCAGTAGTATTTTAGGCTAAAAAACCTACGGATCTAGCTTTAGGAAAAACCAGGCTTTAATTTAGGGTGGGATTTATAATTTCCGGCCACCGGATATGGTGGCCGGCGGTGGTTTTGACGGTGGCCCACGGTGGCCGACTGATAACCAGCTTCCCTCCGATGAGGGAAGCTAGAGAGAAGGAAGAGAGAAAGCTTCTTCTCTCGTTTTTGAGAGAAGAAGAAGAAGAAAGAAATGAGATGTTGGCCCTTCGGGCCAGCTATGAATGGGCTTAAATAGCCCTCCCCAAACGACGCCGTTTTGGGGAGGGATCTGTCCGTAATTAATAAAAAGATTAACCTCTTCCGTCATCCCTTTAGTTTGTAATCTTTACCTTTTAGTCATTGAATCAAATTTTTGATTCTTTTAATTTGGTCTCTACATTTTATTTATTTATATTTTAGCCATTAACCGTATTAATAATATATTTAAGATAAATTTCATATTTAGTCCTTTAATTTTGATAAATAATATTTTAATCCCGAGTATATATTTTTAATTTATTCTAATATGATATTCGAATTTTATATAGTTTTAAATTAATCACTAAATTAATAAAATACGAAAATAACATGTTTAAACCCTATAATTTTGAATTAGGTTTTTTTTTTTAATTTTAATTTTTACTATAATTTAGTCACTAATTTTAAATATTTTCATTTATTTTACCACTTTTAAATATATTGTTCTAATTGTATTTTTATTGTTTTAATTGTTTATATATTTAAATAATTTTACTATTATTATATAGTCATAAATATATATAATGAATAATAAATAATATTTTTTAATAAATTATTTTTTATATATCGAAGAAAAGGACAGTCTTAATACAACTGGATGTCCTATTCTGATGTTTTAAAATTAAACAATATTATTTAAATTAATATTTATCAATATCAAAGAAAAAAGCTGTCTTAAGGCACCTAGAGGTTCTTTTCTGATATTTTTAAATAAATAAATATTTTTTTTATAATTTTGAAATAAATAGAATAATAAATTAAATATATTTTTGATTTTTTTTAAATTTTAATAATAGAGACAATTTATAATTAAAAAGTACCAATTTTGGGCGTTGTAGGGGTGCTAATCCTTCCCTAAACGTAACCGACCACGAACCCTTTTTTTTATTAAAAAGAACAAATTTTTGGTTATAAAACGCAGATCAGTTCATCTTTTAAATATGGTTTTCTTAAAAACTATTTTAAAAGAAAATTTTTAGGTATTCGACCTACCTGATCCAAAAGGTCGATGGCGACTCACAAATTATTTTCAAAATTATTTATTAACATTAATTTCCCCACCATAAATTAATATTTCGTGCCCGGACGAAAACCGGTTACGACAGTATTATTAATAAAAATAAAAATATCTAAAATTATAATAAGAGTTTATCATTATCACCGTAAACTAAATATATAATTTGGATATTTTCCTATAACATTAAAACTAATTACTTCAATCATATAATGAACAATATATGAAAAATGTTAAAAACTTAACCAAAAAACTTGACTAAAAATAGATAGTAACGAATCTGATTGTAATGGCAAACGATCCAAAAAAAAGAATTAAGTTATTAAAAGACCATTGAGAATCATAAATCAGAGCCGAGTGACGTGAGAAATTATCAACGAACATAAAATCACGCATCCAAATTCAATCTGAAGGTCTATAGCATGAAATATAAACAAGATTTCAAATAAGTGTAATCATGATCAGTCTGGCGTCGTAAAATCTAACACTGTTTACAATATCTAATTAATCTTCGAATTAACCGAAATTTTTTAGAATTTTAGAATTTAATATTTTTAAATTAAAAAAAAATTTACAATATCTAATTAATTTGATTCAAAAATTATATTAAAATAAGATATTTATATCTAACAATTTAATTCAAAAAAACCCAACAATACTATATTTCTACAAAATAAATCAGAACAAAGTACAGACTACAGAACTAGAAGCATAATTCAGTATACAAACAGTTTACACTTTGAAAAAGACTCGCATCTGGTTTGATTCTACTTTTATAACATTAAACCTTTGAGTCAGCAAATATTGCTTACTCACTCAAGTTCTATAAGGACAACACGACAAATCCAACAAACCTGAGACTTATCATAGTTGGTTCATGCATCCACTCTTTAGAGACAAAATCTAACGAGTCCGAGGGACTGTTTTGACCATCGCCTACATCCAAACAAGGCATATGATTTCCAGAAAGTAACTCCCAACAAACATACACAAACAATTTAAGAGCTCAAATTTATTCATGAAGTACAATTATGTAATATTTTAGCCAGTGACGCCACCGTTATCATCCAAATAAAAAACATTGACTAAAATGGAACCTAATCCAAAAGGCATACATCAAATAAATTTTTGCCCATACCATAGTCAAGGAAGCAATAAACCAGAATTTTATAAATGCAGTTTAACAGTCTATTAATCTTTCAGTTGTCTCAGCATAAACAAAACAAGAACCCAACTTTTATTCGGAAGTTTGTTGCTTTCAAGTTTCAAAACAATCCATTATATCATTCCCAGAAGTATTTATTTCGAATAAGAGGAGGGAAAACACAGGAGAAACGACAAACAAAAATATGTCAAAAGCAATTCGATTTCATTCAACGAAATAGTAATAATGATTTGAGTGATAACTAATAGATAGGAAAAAATCATACAAATTCCAGAAACATTAAACAAATGAAAGAAAAGAGAAAAAATCCCAAACACAGAAACGATATCAAATCACAAACCTTAAATCAAACAAGTAATTAAAAATTTTAGGGGAGAAGTAAACTAATCAAAGAGAAAAACTAGAAATTTTAAGTTAGAAAGCTAACCTGAATCGAGATTCGAGAGTGCAGAACTGAGATCAGAGAGACTGAGATAGATAAATAGAGAGAGGGAATGAGGGTTTGATGAAAGGAAAAAGTTCGGGTGGTGAGAATCGTGAGATGGGATTGAAAGGTAAAATTTTACATTTAGTTTTTAGGTTATTTTATTTAATTAAAATTGATTTGGACATTTGAGTTTTAAAATTTAAATGAGTTTTAACTTTCAAATGGATTAGGGCAGTGGGCTATTTGACGGGCTGAGTTATATATATATATATATATATTTAATTCGATTAATTCAGTTAATTAATCGATTTAACTATTAATTGAATTTTTAAAAAAAATTAACCGTTAACCGATCGAATTAATTTAGTGGTCGGCCGAATTAATTGAAGTAATTCGATTTGATCGATTAACCGAATTAATTCGAAAATTTGAACATCCTGAACCAGAGTTGCCGCGTAAACATAATGATATTCATTAAATTAACATTTAATTTATACATCATTAAAAATATGAAAATTAAATTCGTATAATATAATTTTTAATAATGCGTTATTTTCTTATTCATTATATTATTTGTTATTTTTAAGATAAATTACACATATAATATTTAAGTTATCAATTTTTATCTATTTTAATATCTAAAATTTTATTTTTTTTAAAACAACACCTAAAGTTTAGTTTTTGTTTATTCTAGTATCCTATTGTTAAAAAATTAATGTGTTTAGTACCTAAACTTTTATTTTTATTAAAAATTTAACGTTAAATTTTTAACAGATAATAAAATGAAACAAAAATAAAACGTTAGATATGATTTTAAAAAATAAAAATAAAAACTTAAGTACTAAAACAAATCAAAATTAATAGTTTAAATATTAAACGTATAATTTATCATTTTTTAATAAATATCGACTATAATAATACAATTAGATTAATTGACGTTAACAATAAAAAATATTATTTTCTTTTAAGGTGTTGAATTTAAATAATTATATAAGTAAAATATGTATATTATTAATTAATTAAGAATATTTAAAAAATTATTTTATAATTACTTAAATTATTAAAAAATATATATATATATAATTTAATTGTCTTTAAATAATGGTTGAACTAAAACCGTCAGATCACTTTGACGTGTAAAAGACAGCATAGCACCGAATCACCTCTCATCATTCTAAAATCACGTGACTCAGGGACATTTATGTCATTCAAAATTTCCAAGTCCTAATTGAAAAAGAATGTACCCAAAGATAGGAGCAATCTTATTGGTTATCCAAAATGCAATCCACCGCTAAACGACGCCGCATTTCCTCTCCTCCTTCCTTCGATCCTATCAGATATTACCTTGAATTATCACTTCCTCTTCCCCAAAAAGAGTATATCCTCCTCTTCTGCACTGTTGCAGACACTCAATTTATCATCGATCAACTAAAAGAAACGCTTTATTTTTTAAATTCAGTAACCGACTCTTTTAACTCAGTGACTCATCTACAAAACTGAGTCCGGTGGTGTTTTGAGGTTTTTCATTTCGGTGATGCTTCGTGAGTTTTTTTTCTTCCCTTTGAAGTGATAAGATTCAAGAAACTGAAAAGGTTGCAAAATGGATCGAGCTGGGCCGGCTATGGATATGCCGATCATGCACGACAGTTACCGTTACGATTTCGTTAAAGATATCGGGTCGGGTAATTTCGGAGTCGCCCGACTTATGAGGGATAAGGTCACCAAAGAGCTCGTTGCTGTCAAGTACATCGAGAGAGGCGATAAGGTTAGATTAAAAATTCCCCCTCTCTCCAAATTCATAAATAGTAACTTTCCTTTTTCGTTTTGCTTTTTCGATTTCGGTCTATTTATGGAAATAAAATTCTGTTTGGATAATTACGGCAGTTACGCTTATCGAATTTTCAACTGCTTAACGAACTTTCTTTTTCTTTTCAATTTTTAATATTGTATTAAATGTATTATTGTGTTGTACAGATAGATGAAAGTGTTCAAAGGGAGATTACTAATCATAGATCATTGAGGCATCCTAATATTGTTAGATTTAAAGAGGTAAGGTTAATTAATTACATTTTTATTTTTTTAACTTGAAATTATTTTGGTGTTTTAAGTAATAATTATGGAAAATGTTAATTTTAGGTTACTTTAACACCTACTCATCTTGCCATTGTTATGGAATATGCATCTGGAGGTGAGCTTTTCGAGCGGATTTCTGCCGCTGGCCGATTCAATGAGGATGAGGTTTCATTTTCTTGTATTTTTCATTATTTTAAATCCTATTATTTCCCCCCTCTTTTGTTTATACATTCATTTGTTTTGGTGCAGGCTCGCTTCTTCTTCCAGCAGCTTCTATCCGGTGTTAGTTATTGCCATGCAATGGTAGTTTTAGTTTATCCATTTCCTTTTATTTTTTCTTTCTGAATTCTATGTTGGACATGGGAAAGTTTCTAACTGAAGAAAACTTCATTACCTAGGATAATAATCTTATTAGAAAATTTTAAAAAGAATGAATGTAAGTTGAACACGAATCCACGTCCGATACTTGCACTAAAACCGAGTAACATCGGTGTTACTATAATTTGTTTTTGCTCATCAAAATGATTTCTTTCTTGATGAAGCAAGTATGCCATCGTGATTTGAAGTTGGAAAACACATTATTGGATGGAAGTCCAGCTCCCCGGCTTAAGATTTGTGATTTTGGGTATTCAAAGGTATACATTGCTCGAACCCTTTGTTGTTCCTGTCTCAATTGATGAGGTTTATAGTTTTACATTCTATAATGTGAGACATTTAGTGTTATGTTCTTTTTTGATCCTTTTAACTGCCATATTGGATTATGATAATTATTCTTTGCTTAAAAAAAATATCGTCTTCATTTACTTCCATTTACATTTGTACATGAAGTTGCCTGTGAATTTGTCGGTTATGCAAGATCTTTATTGTACTTATTTGTTTAATTATGGTTTTTTTCAGTCTTCGGTTCTTCATTCACAACCGAAGTCCACTGTCGGAACTCCTGCATACATTGCTCCTGAGGTACTCCTAAGGCAAGAGTACGATGGCAAGGTATACTTACGGGCTAGTTCAAATCAGTTTAGAATTCACGTGCAATTCCTGTTTAAGATGTAAAGAGGTAGATCTTATATGGGTTAATCATTGTGTTCTAGTTTTGTGTTCGAGTGAAATAAATCCAAATAGGTGGTTTTCACCCCTTAGTTGATTTAAAACTTTGGTTTACTATTCATTTTCCGTAAGATGACGGTTGCGCACTCCTTTAACTAGGAAGGTATGGGGTAATAGATCATTGCTCTGCTTATGTGTAATGTGAGGTTTTGTTAGATGGATCTGGTTCTTATGGCTCATATTTTTTAAGTGTTGGCAGTTAGATTGGGTTGCTTAGTTTTTTCACTTCTGCAAATTTTGACAAGATCTTGAATGGTCGATAAGCTTGTTGATATGCAAATGGACGCAAAAGAAAACCAGAGGGAGTTTTCTCCGGTGGTCTACTTTTAACCAAGTCTAGGCTCGTTCATGTAGATGTTGGAATATGAAAATATGTAACAAAGTGTTGCTGATTCTGTCTTGTGATATCAGATTGCGGATGTATGGTCATGTGGGGTTACCTTGTATGTAATGCTTGTTGGGCAATATCCTTTCGAGGATCCTGATGAGCCAAAAGACTTTCGGAATACTATACAAGTATGCCATAAGCTCTTGTTATAGTCTTACCCTCATTTTTCTTTTCTTCCCAAATGATCTATTGTTAATTTCTTTTATTGATTGATGCAGAGAATTCTAAGTGTCCAGTACTCCATTCCGGATTTTGTCCAAATATCTCCCGAATGTCGACATCTGATTTCAAGGATTTTTGTTGCTGATCCTGCAACCGTGAGTATTTCCTCCGGAGAACTCTCCCTCATTGCGTTTTTTTTTTTGTTTTGTGGTTTTGTCTGGCAACTACCATGATTCTGACCGATAATGAACCTTTTGTGTAACAGAGAATTACGATCCCGGATATCAGAAATCATGAGTGGTTCTTGAGGAATCTCCCTGCTGATCTGATGGATGAAAACACAATGGGAAACCACATCGAGGAGCCTGATCAACCTATGCAGAGCATGGATACGATCATGCAGATTATAGCTGAGGCCACCATTCCAGCTGCTGGCGCCCCTGGCTTAAATCACATGTTAGACAGCCTTGATGATGAGGACATGGATGACATTGATTCCGAATCTGAACTCGACATCGATAGCAGCGGGGAGATAATTTATGCAATGTAATAGGAAGAAGATAGGTTCCATGTTTTTTGGTCATATCGAAGCATAAGTCATAGCTGCAGAGGATCTATGCTCTAGTGTGTAAGGTAAGCATCTGAGATTAAGACTATATTGAAGTGCACAATGCTGGAGTCCGTCACGGTCATGGAAGCTTTATACGAATCGGTCGAAGACGATATTTAATACTACTTTATGAGGCAGGATCATTAGAAAAATATATATATCTTTATTATATAATTATTAAATAAAACAAGTAATTCCGAATTTTTAGAATTTATATATTATAAAATTATATGTATGAATCAAGCAAATTTAGTAAATGGATTGTTCTTTTTGAGGTCCCAAGTTTGAGAAGTGTTAGTGTGTTCATTATTAATTTTTTTTTAAATTTTTTAAAATTGATATTATTTTGTAATAATTTCAGTTTGAAAAATTATATAACAATTGTATTTTCTTTTATTAAATTTACGTTTTTCGTATGGATCTGTTGAAGATAACATGGATGGGGAATCCAAAGAAACCACCACCAATGGGGCGGTGCGTCGGTGGAAATCCGTGTGGTTCCCACCTGTTTTGGGTTGCTCGGTTCCCTATGTTGCAAAATTACGAAACAGAAAGACCAGTTTGTTTTAGGTATGCATGTGCAGCTGGTGTATTTAATTCATGCTGCAATTGCCATTATTTTCTCTACTAAATTATAACATATGCGAAAATGTTAGGTTAGAAAAACTACAATTGTGAGGGTTAATTTAGTCTTTACATAAAATCTGTTGGAAGTTATTTAGTGATATTGTCGCAATGTGTTAATGTTATCATCACAATAAAATCAAATATAATATTATAATTTTTAAAAATAATAAGGGATCAAAATGATATCGTAGAAAGAGGTGGATGACTAAATATGAAATTTACCCTATTATTTACATAAAATCTGTTGGAGGTTCCTTGGATTGCCAGTTTCCGATAAAGGGGAAGAACAAGTACAAGTGATCATCTTCCAAACTATTCCAAGAAATTGGAAGAACAAGTATAAGCGATCAACATCAATTTTCCGGAGCAACTAAAATGTTTATGTTATATAAACTTTAGGGGAAAAATAATATATGATGTAAGTTAATTTTAATGTGATCTTTCAACTTAAAAAATAAATTTAGTATAGTCATTTAATTAATATTTTTCATCGTTGATTGTTACGATATTGATGTAGTAGTTTACGGTGTTGACATGGTGATTCGTATTGACATGACAGTCTATAGTTGTTAATATCATAATGGATAGATTATTACATCAATATTGAATATCGTCATGTCAGTATTGTGAACTATCACGTTAGTACTGTGAATCTTCGTATTAATATTGTGAATTATTACATTAACACTGTAAAAATCAAATAACTAAAAAAATTCATTAAAAATCAAATTAAATATATATTTTTAGTTAGAAGACTACATTAAGAAAAAAATATGTATTTTTCTCGAAAAATCATCGGTGATCGGTATATTTACCGATCTAACACCGGTCATATTATATTTTTCGATCTAACACCCGTAGCAGTAAAGCGCGCTCCCTGCCCCGCGTTATATGCTGATTTGGTGCCACGTGGGGTATAGTGCGCCCCCTGTACCGCGTTATACGCTGACATGGCTTATACGTGGGTATAGCGCGGCCCCTGGTCTGCGCTATAGCTGTTTATCTGACACGTGGGGTATAGCGCGGTACAGGGGCGCACTATACCTTTAATTACCCCCCAATCCTCCTTATAAATACCCCCATTTTCTATTAATTTCATCACACCATATTCTCTCAAATACTCTATCTATTTAAGGTATATTTTATAATATTTTTAATATTATGTATTTAATTTATTTGAGCATTTTACTTTATTTAATATTTTACTAATATAATTTTTTTGTAGATATATAATAGAAGACGGTTTACTCCACTTGGATAGAAATCATATATCTCGACACTTTGCTGATACGGTAGCATTTTAACGTTTTAATTTAATTTAAATTATTTGTAATAATTTATTGATTTATTTAATGCATGGTTATTAGATTAAGAATTAATTTGTGTAATTATTTAATTTTAGGAGAATGACCGTGTATTAAATCCTTTTATTAGGAATCTTAAGTTAGTGATACCTAGCCGTGTCTTGCCGTATTTAGTAGAGGCTGGATTTGGTTACATAGGTAGATATCAGGGTCACTGTAAGATAGAACCAGACCTTATTTCTACTTTAGTAGAGCGGTGGAGGTCGGAGACCCACACATTCCATCTTCCGTGCGGAGAGTGCACGATTACACTTGAGGATGTTGCTATGCACCTAGGGCTTCCGGTGGATGGAGATGTGATATCAGGGATCTCGTAGGATTCCTGGACTACTTTGTGCTGGGATAATCTAGGACGTGTCCCGGAAAGTTTTATCGGAGGTAGGATACCATTAAATTGGTTAGATGCCAATTTTCGGGAGTTGAGCGCAGACGCCTCTGAGGATGAAGTTAAGATGTATGCACGGGCATGCATACTGCAGTTGATAGGAGGGTTGGTGATGCCGGACAAATCGCGTAACCTAGTTCATTGCATGTGGTTGCGACATCTTAGCGACTTTCGTCTGGCCGGATCATTCAGTTGGGGCTCGACAGTTTTGGCTTTGTTGTACAGGGAGATGTGTGGAGCCACTGACTACATACGTAATGCTATCGGCGGATGTCTCCTGCTGCTGCAGTCTTGGGCATGGTATCAATTGCCCTTTTTATGTCCCGTTGTGAAGAACTCATTCGTATTTCCACTACTTCTGAGGTAATTATAAAACTGATTTTGTATATTAATAATTTTATACAACGTATAATAATTTTTTTCCTTAAATAGGTGGTCTACTGATAGAAAAAATCATCAGGAGCTACCTGATGATTTAGAAAAAATTAGGGTGCTAATCGATCAGAAGGCTGGCACACAGGTATGAATTTTAATGTTTAAAAATCGATTTTAGATTATAGTTATATAATTAGATTATTATTTTGATAAAAAATTATATAATATTTGTTTTAGTTTGAATGGGTGCCATATTGTACTGATGATGTGAGGGCGGTGATCTCACCTGAGTTGAGAGCCCCATCAGATGTTTGGATGGCGATGGTCCCTCTGATCTGTTATGCGACCGTCGAGTGGCACTCTACTGATCGCGTGCTCCGACAGTTTGGTTGTTTTCAACTAATTCCGGAAGCACCTCGCAATATGGACGAGTTTCATAGCTTAGATAGACGCGACAAAACAGATACAAATTGGCTGGTGAGGCATCATGAGTGGGTCGTGTTGTGGGAGGATCCTTCCCCGTAGAGAGCCCATTTTTGATGACCTCTTGATGGTTGCTGACGGTTATTATGAGTGGTTCAACAGTAACGGGAAACCGTTTTTGCTTCCCGAGGATGCACGAGGGTAGACATTTCTGCGACGTCGATAGAGACGTTCATCGATAAAGCACCATCGTCCCCCGACTCATGGACAGAGAGCAGGTGCTTCCGGTTCATCCTCAGCTGCGCCAGCAGGACCTTCACAGCAGGTACCACAACCATTTATGATGCCGCCGCCTTTCCATTACCAGATGTCGCCGCCACCTTCACCTGGTTTTATGACCCTGCCGTCGTCGTCGTCACAGATGACCCCTCCTGAAGGCTATTATGGGTCTATGTTTGTAGATCCGACTTGGGGTTCATATATTGGATATCTGGCGGGTTCAACCTCATCACCCATGGCCGCAGCACAGACACCTCCTGTACAGTTTTCACACTCAACGATGTCTGGGTTTTATGAGTTTTCCCAGTTTTCGCATGCCGATGGGATAGTCAGTCATACACCTCCAGGGTCCTTATTCTATGGAGGTGCTTCATCGTCATCAGCTCCTCATCAACCTAATGTACCTGCTCAGGACGACGACGACGATGGTGATGATGATGACAGCGAGGAGTCAGAACCAGTGATACGAAGAAATCCTCCTCGAGACCGACAGCCATCGCCCTGCGGAACACATTCGCGTCGCAAGCATCGATAATTTTTTTTATATATTTGTATTTACTTTATTTTGTTAAATTGTAATTTTTTATTATTTCTCATTTAATACTTACTTTATTTTGTTAATTTTTTTGGATTTTTTAATGTATTTCAGTTAATTTTGTTTATTACCATTTAATATCAGTTATTATAATTTGGTTATCATTTACCATTTAATTCTTATTGTAAGTTTGTTGTATTTAAAATTATATTCAAATACCAAATTGTTATTAGTTTGATAAAATTTAATGATTGTGTTCATTTTTTTAATCTTCATCAGCGATTATCGAATGACATTAACTTGAAGTAAATGCAAATTAAAGTACAAGAATTATTATTTGATAAACAAATACATCATTTCCTCATCAATTGTTACTTGATGACAACATAAGTGGACATGTTTTTCTAGTGTGTCCTGGGTTTCTACAATTCCCACATCTTCTGTCTTGTCTAGATCTTTCTCGAATATCCATATCGCAATGAATTCGATTGGATTTTGGATGACCACGCTCCCTCAATAAACTCGGATTTGATACAATCGGAAGCCAATCTTGAACCTCATCAGGGTCTTTATCATTACCTATGGGGGGAAACTCAAATTCTTATACCTTAAAAACTTCAGATAGTAGGTATACGGGGTCCACAAAATGGTTATAGTATTGACGTGTATGCGAGCAAGTTGCTATCACATGAGAGCATGTATATTTCAGAGCTTGAAAAAACCCGCAGTCGCACGTTCTGTCCCTTAGATTTACTCTTAACGACACAGCTTCAATCCCTTGAAGAGGTCGCGACAACTCTGTGACACGAAACATTTCATGCCTTCTAGAGAAACTTATTACAGACATTCCATTTGATGCAACAATTTTTTTCTGTAGATCTGCAACTAATCTAGGATGATAGACATGACCGCCTTGCATCCATGTTTGAGCTTGTCCCTCGAGCTTCGCAAAAAGCGCCCAAACGAAAATATATAGTTTTTACCAAAGCCGCTACAGGTAAGTGACGTGCACCCTTTAAGGTTGAATTGATTGCCTCAACCAAGTTGGTCGTCATGTGTCCATATCGATATCCACCATCATATGCGTTCGTCCACATTTATTTATCAATGAGGCTGATGTAATCGTATCCTTCCTCGTTCTTCGCCCGCAAATCTTGAAGCATTGATTCAAACGTTCGAG